CTGGATCGATATTTGAAACACCACATTTTTCATTGCACTTTCTGGTGGTTATCTAGTTTCTTGAGTTTTTTTTTGCAGAAATAAAAAACACACGTCACTTATTACAAAATACCAAAAAATACAAAAAATAAGCATTTTTAAACTTTCCAGCTGGTTTAGGGTTCCAGCACGGCGGCAGCGTGTGCTCTACCTCTTGGCTTAGCCGTTTTTAGTCGATTTTGACCGATTTTGGTTAGTTTTGTACGAAAACCTACAAAAAAAGGCATTAGGCAACCTTTGCTGACTGGAAAAGGGAAAAACCCAAACTTTATCGGTTGGGAGGTTTTCCAGTGCGCGGCTCTGCCATTCTTTTCTCGCGTATAGGGATTCTCTTCGGTCAACCTACACCAGAAAAGGATTAGGAGCACAACGATAGAAAAATCGAAAGGAACAAAAAACGAGAAAGGACTCACCAGAGCAATTTTTGGGTCATGGCTGCAGCAGCTCGGGCAAGCTCCACTCTCATTTTTTGGCTTATATTTTGGCTTTTGGCTCAAATATATATGTGATGAGGTTTGAAATCAAGTTTCAAATAAAATGGTGGAAAAATTTTACCTTTCCGATATCGATGGTAACTCAAGTGCAACAACAACGACGGTTGGTTTTCTTTTCGGCCGCCCTTCTTCTTCTTATCCGGCGAGCTCAAATGCGACTAAGGTTAGGATTTCATAGGATGCGATATTTAAATACTCTCCTGCATCGATTTGGACCGTCTGTACGGGGACACGTGACCCTCTCTCATCCGTTAGATCGCTCTTATTTGGAGAATAAATTTGGGCTACACGATCAGATTAAATTTGACTGTTCAATCGCATCTGAATAAGGAACGAATCTGGATAGTTCATGCTTAGGGGAAGAGATTTGGGCCGTTAGATTTGCTGGCACGCAAATCGTTCATGTGGCTTCCCACATGGACGCGTGTCCATGTGTCTGCCACGCGGCGCACGACGACCAGCCGCGCTGTTAATGTCGCGGTCCACGTGACTAAAGTTTCATTATTTTCACTTTTACCACAGTTTTTTATATTTTTTTTAAATAAGTCCTCATTTATTTTTACTTTAACTTTAATTTTTGAAAATATTTTCAAATGCATCCAAAACATAATTTTTTTAAAAAATTCAACAAAAAATTAAAATTAAAAATTTTAAATTTATTATTTTATTATTATTAAATTATTCCGAACCTAAATTTCAGATTCGGGTGTTATAAAATCTATAAGCGTCTTATTGATTACATCTTTTAGTTGAAGAAGCGTTTATTTTGCATATAAAATATTTTTATATAAACAAGTTTCTCATGTAATAACATTATAAAAATATTGTGTTAATACATTGTCTCAATCCTTAATAATATATCCAATACACAGTGACTAATGAAAACTTTGTTGACCTTCTTGTTTGATAAAGAACATGAGAGAAATCGTTCGCTTTAAATTTTATTAG